GGCTGGCAGATTACGGGCCTCCCATAGCTGCTGCCAGGCCCCTAATCTGCCATGGGCCCCTATATACCGCCTCCTCATGCTGCTGCCAAGTCCAGAGTCTCTCATGGGTCCCTGTACGGCCTCCCATTGCTGCTGTCTCCATCGCCACACTCTGCCATGTGCCACATTCAGGTCTCTTCACACTGCTGGTGTGTTGAATTTTTTGACATAGGGTGCTGGCAGATTACGGGCCTCCCATAGCTGCTGCCAGGCCCCTAATCTGCCATGGGCCCCTATATACCGCCTCCTCATGCTGCTGCCAAGTCCAGAGTCTCTCATGGGTCCCTGTACGGCCTCCCATTGCTGCTGTCTCCATCGCCACACTCTGCCATGTGCCACTTTCAGGTCTCTCACACACTGCTGTTGTGTTGAATTTTTTGACATAGGGTGCTGGCAGATTACGGGCCTCCCATAGCTGCTGCCAGGCCCCTAATCTGCCATGGGCCCCTATATACCGCCTCCTCATGCTGCTGCCAAGTCCAGAGTCTCTCATGGGTCCCTGTACGGCCTCCCATTGCTGCTGTCTCCATCGCCACACTCTGCAAACGGCCTCGTGCCCATTCAGGTCTCCTACCACCACTGCTGCCAGTGTGTTGAATTTTTTGACATAGGGTGCTGGCAGATTACGGGCCTCCCATAGCTGCTGCCAGGCCCCTAATCTGCCATGGGCCCCCTTTCGTCAAGCCGCCAAGTCCAGAGTCTCTCATGGGTCCCTAGCCGTCCCATGTCGACTATGTGCCACACTGCAAAGTCCAGCGTGGCTCAGGGGGCCCATGTTGGGACTAGGGTGCAGCGTTGCTGCTGCATTGCATATGCAGCGTCCAGGCCATTCGGTGGCCATGGGGCCACCGTTTAAAGATCTCGGTTCTGCTGCCCCAGCCCAGGTGTTCCAATTTTTTGACATAGGGTGCTGGCAGATTACGGGCCTCCCATAGCTGCCGCCAGGCCCCAATCGGCCATGGGCCCCTATATACCGCCTGGTCACGCTGCTGCTGCCAAGTCCCACAGTGTGACCTGGGTCCCTGTACGGCCTCCCATTGCTGCTTCCACTCTGCCATGTGCCACTTTGAGGTCTCCTCACACACTCCTGTGTTTTCCATTTTTTTTGACATAGGTTGCTGGCAGATTACAGGCCTCCCATAGGTGCCGCCAGGCCCCAAATCGGCCATGGGCCCCCGTACCGCCTGGTCACGCTGCTGCTGGTCCCACAGTGTGACCTGGGTCCCTGTACGGCCTCCCATTGCTTCCATCTGCTGCCATGTGCCACTTTGAGGTCTCCTCACACTCCTGTGCTTTTCCATTTTGACATAGGTTGCTGGCAGATTACAGGCCTCCCATAGGTGCCGCCAGGCCCCAAATCGGCCATGGGCCCCCGTACCGCCTGGTCACGCTGCTGCTGGTCCCACAGTGTGACCTGGGTCCCTGTACGGCCTCCCATTGCTTCCACTCTGCCATGTGCCACTTTGAGGTCTCCTCACACTCCTGTGCTTTTCCATTTTGACATAGGTTGCTGGCAGATTACAGGCCTCCCATAGGTGCCGCCAGGCCCCAAATCGGCCATGGGCCCCCGTACCGCCTGGTCACGCTGCTGCTGGTCCCACAGTGTGACCTGGGTCCCTGTACGGCCTCCCATTGCTTCCACTCTGCCATGTGTCACTTTGAGGTCTCCTCACACTCCTGTGCTTTTCCATTTTGACATAGGTTGCTGGCAGATTACAGGCCTCCATAGGTGCCGCCAGGCCCCAAATCGGCCATGGGCCCCCGTACCGCCTGGTCACGCTGCTGCTGGGCCCACAGTGTGACCTGGGTCCCTGTACGGCCTCCCATTGCTTCCACTCTGCCATGTGCCACTTTGAGGTCTCCTCACACTCCTGTGCTTTTCCATTTTGACATAGGTTGCTGGCAGATTACAGGCCTCCCATAGGTGCCGCCAGGCCCCAAATCGGCCATGGGCCCCCGTACCGCCTGGTCACGCTGCTGCTGGTCCCACAGTGTGACCTGGGTCCCTGTACGGCCTCCCATTGCTTCCACTCTGCCATGTGCCACTTTGAGGTCTCCTCACACTCCTGTGCTTTTCCATTTTGACATAGGTTGCTGGCAGATTACAGGCCTCCCATAGGTGCCGCCAGGCCCCAAATCGGCCATGGGCCCCCGTACCGCCTGGTCACGCTGCTGCTGCTGGCCCACAGTGTGACCTGGGTCCCTGTACGGCCTCCCATTGCTTCCACTCTGCCATGTGCCACTTTGAGGTCTCCTCACACTCCTGTGCTTTTCCATTTTGACATAGGTTGCTGGCAGATTACAGGCCTCCATAGGTGCCGCCAGGCCCCAAATCGGCCATGGGCCCCCGTACCGCCTGGTCACGCTGCTGCTGGGCCCACAGTGTGACCTGGGTCCCTGTACGGCCTCCCATTGCTTCCACTCTGCCATGTGTCACTTTGAGGTCTCCTCACACTCCTGTGCTTTTCCATTTTGACATAGGTTGCTGGCAGATTACAGGCCTCCCATAGGTGCCGCCAGGCCCCAAATCGGCCATGGGCCCCCGTACCGCCTGGTCACGCTGCTGCTGGTCCCACAGTGTGACCTGGGTCCCTGTACGGCCTCCCATTGCTTCCACTCTGCCATGTGTCACTTTGAGGTCTCCTCACACTCCTGCTGCTTTTCCATTTTGACATAGGTTGCTGGCAGATTACAGGCCTCCCATAGGTGCCGCCAGGCCCCAAATCGGCCATGGGCCCCCGTACCGCCTGGTCACGCTGCTGCTGAGCCCACAGTGTGACCTCCCACTGGTGCTTGTGGCCATTTTGTGTCAGGCATTTGCTGGCAGATTACAGCCTCCATCTCCCCCGTACCGCCTGTGGTCACGGCTCCCTGTACGGCCTCCCATTGCTTCCTCTGCCATGTGCCACTTTGAGGTCTCCTCACACTCCTGCGGTTTTCCATTTTTTGACATAGGTTGCTGGCAGATTACAGGCCTCCCATAGGTGCTGCCAGGCCCCAATCGGCCATGGGCCCCCTACCGCCTCCTCATGCTGCTGCCAAGTCCAGAGTGTCTCTCATGGGTCCCTGTACGGCCTCCCATTGCTTCCACTCTGCTGCCAGGAGGCAGCAGGGTTTTCGCAGCAGTGTCTGTGGAGGCAAACAGCCACGAATAGAGCACCAGCTCCACTGCAGCCTACCACCACGGCCAGTGGTAGTGTGCCCCACAGTGTGCACGGAGGAAGTAGCAGTCAGCCAGTGAGGAGTAGCGGGGGCAAAGTTTCCTACACTCGGCGGTGTGGCAATTTTTCGTCAAAGCCGCCGCCCGAGGAAGTAAACATAGCCGTATGTCGACTATGTGGCCAGAAAGTCAAGCGTGGCCAGGGGGCCCATGTTGGGACTACAGCGTTGCGTCAGCATATGCAGCGTCGCCATTCGGTGGCCTGGGAAAACCGTGATAAAGATACGGCGGTTCTGCCTGCCCCAGCCCAGGGTTCCATTTTGTCATAGGGTGCTGGCAGATTACGGGCCTCCCATAGGTGCCGCCAGGCCCCAAAATCGGCCATGGGCCCCCGTACCGCCTGGTCACGCTGCTGCTGAGCCCACAGTGTGACCTGGGTCCCTGTACGGCCTCCCATTGCTTCCACTCTGCCATGTGCCACTTTGAGGTCTCCTCACACTCCTGTGCTTTTCCATTTTGACATAGGTTGCTGGCAGATTACGGGCCTCCCATAGGTGCTGCCAGGCCCCAAATCGGCCATGGGCCCCCGTACCGCCTGGTCACGCTGCTGCCCACAGTGTGACCTGGGTCCCTGTACCGCCTCCTCCCATTGCTCCCACTCTGCCATGTGCCACTTTCAGGTCTCCTCACACTCCTGCTGGTTTCCATTTTGTCATAGGTTGCTGTATGGCCTCCCATTGCTGCTGCCTCCACCGCCACACTGTGGCTCCAAACACTGGTTTTGGCCCCGTGACTGGCCAAATGAGTGAAATGTGCGGTTATTCTAAGATCGACGGCACTCATCTGCATGTCATACTGACTGACAGTATTATTTCTCTTCCCCAGCAGACTCCAAGGGCATTTAAATTAAAGGTACAGTGTTCTGCACTAATATTAAGTCTCTCTGAAGCCTAGAAACACCCTTTTTTAAGTTAAATTCACAGCGAGTATATTCGACTCGAATCGAATATTGTCCACGAATTCGCCGAATCAGTCGAATCGAATTTTTGAATTCTTCGCTCATCTCTAGTCAGGAGTATGTAATGTACAACATAGAGTATATAGTGCAGGAATGTACAACATAGAGTATATAGTGCAGGGGTCAGGAGTATGTAATGTACAACATAGAGTATATAGTGCAGGGGTCAGGAGTATGTAATGTACAACATAGAGTATATATAGTGCAGGGGTCAGGAGTATGTAATGTACAACATAGAGTATATAGTGCAGGGGTCAGGAGTATGTAATGTACAACATAGAGTATATAGTGCAGGGTAAAGGTAGGTACAACTCATAATTACAACATTCAGTGTAATCAATAATTACCATGTAATCAACTGTACTCTAAATGTTTACTGTAGACAAGTTGCAGAGATCCCACACCGCTGCCTCCCATCTCCTGAGACTGCACTCAGTGACTTGGGTCTGAGACACTACAGACATATCCCTCCACCCGGCACAGGTGACAAATACTGGGAGAATTGCTATGTCACCACCATGAGGAATGAGATCAAAAGAACATGTCCAGGTGTCTAGGTCTAGTAACACTTATGGTGAAATGAACATTTTTCTGCCAGCTGAATTGTGTCTGCAGCACAGAGAAGGAAGATTATCCGAGAGAAATCCAGGAATACAGGACGGGGAACACAGCTCAGAAAAGTGACCAGGGGATTACAGGCTGATATCACCCAGTCCCCGCCCTACTCTGGACCAATCAGTGAGCAGTATGGGTGGAGGAATGGATTTAGTGTTCATGACCCACCTGTGCTGATCTCTGTAGGAGTGTCCTCCTCTATAAATGTCCCCGTTATTCCATCCTCCTCCATAGACTGCTGATCATCCCTCACATACGCCTCTTCTTCTTCTGCTTTCACCTCAAATTCTATATCGATTGGATCTCCACTCTAAATCAAGGAAATGAGAGAAAATATCATCTGTAAAATGTAAGATTTATGATTGTGACATCACACACAAAATCCACACATTGTCTCCCTTCACAGAAGCAGATCACATGTGATATGTGGGTACATTTCCCCTAAATACCGCATGCCATCCTGAAACTGTCCATTTCCTATCCCGTGTTGCGGTATTGACCACAAACACTGAACACGCTCAGTAAATACCGCATGAACAGGCGTTACATTCACAGAAGGAAATAAAGAATGAAATGCATGCGGTCATTAATTAGTGGTGGAGACATGCGGCATTCAGGAAATGTGTACTGCTTGGTAAAGAGTGGGGGCGGCGCTGGCATCCTTAACAACCAGTAAACAACATGGTTGTTAGGGAGCGAGCGCCGCCGCTGCGTCCTAACCAACCGATAAATCTAAAAAAAAAAAAATTACCGCAAAAAATATTAAGAAAATGGCGTGGGGTCCCCCTTTGGGGGGTCTGGTATGGATTTTGAGGGGGACCCCTTGCCAAAATGAAAGAAATACATACCAGACCCCTATCTGAGCATGCAGCCCAGCAGGTCAGGAAAGGGGGGGGATGAGCAAGCGACCCCCCCCCTGAAACATACCAGGCCACGTGCCCTTAACATGGAGTGGATGCTGGGGCAGGGGGGGGGGGGGGGAGCTTTGCTCCCCCAGAGCACCTTGTCCATGTTGATGGGGACAAGGGACTCTTCCCCACAACCCAGGCTAGTGGCTGTGGGGGTTTGCAGGCAGAGGACTTACAAAAAGTAACAAGGGGCCCTCAGATCCCTCACCCCATGTGAATGAGTATGGGGTACATGGTACCCCTAATTATTCACCCCCAAAAAAGTATTCTGTTAAATAGACAGCAGGCAGTTTTTGACAAGTCCTTTATTAAAAAAGCAAAACTAAAGCAAAATGTCCCCCCGGTGTAGATCCATCATCAATCACGATGCTCGCTGTCACCGCTGACTCGGAAAGAAAAGCTCCGCTCCCAATGAAGACTCCCCTCTGTCTGACAGCTCTGCTGCCTCCTGCCACTAAATATACTAAGGGACGGTGCCACTCGGTGATGTCACTGACCGGGCATGTTGTATTGGTGATTGGTGACACTGACCGGGGCATGTTGTATTGGTGACGTCACTGACCGGGGCATGTTGTATTGGTGACGTCACTGACCGGGGCATGTTGTATTGGTGATCACTGACCGGGGCATGTTGTATTGGTGACATCACTGACCGGGGCATGTTGTATTGGTGACGTCACTGACCGGGGGCATGTTGTATTGGTGACGTCACTGACCGGGGCATGTTGTATTGGTGACGTCACTGACCAGGGCATGTTGTATTGGTGATGTCACACTGAAGGGGCATGTTGTATTGGCCACCCAGTTTATTTAGAAGTCACTGACCGGGGCGGCATGCTGTCAATGTCACTGACCGGGGAGCATTTGTTTGGTGATGTCACAAGAAGGCAATGACAGCGAGTATCGTGATTGGATCATCGATGGATCTACATCAGGGGGATATTGTTCTTTTTTTTTTTTTTCAAAAATTACTTCCAGTTTTTTTTAAACTACTTTTTTTTTTGGTGAATGAATAGGGGTACTATGTACTCTATACTCATTCACATTGTGGGGGGGCCGGGATCTGGGGGGGGCCTCCTTGTTAAAGGTGACTTCCAGATTCCAGATTCCAATAAGCCCCCCACAACCACTGCCCGGTTGTGGGGAAGGGACCCTTGTCCCCATCGACATGGGGACAAGGTGCTTTTGGGAGGATAGAGCGCCCCTGCCCTGAAGCACCCACCCCATGTTGAGGGTATGTGGCCTGGTATGGTTCAGGAGGAAGGTGGGCACTCACTAAGGGTCTGGTATTGATTTTGGAGGGGAAACCACGCCTTTATTTTTATTATTTTGGCATCGGGGTTCCCCTCAAAATCCATACCAGACCTGTCACACAGCTGTCAGCGGGGAACTTGGTGGCCGTCCGCTCCTTGTTTACTGGTTGTTGGGGACACTGGCGGCTGCCCTCTCCTTAACAACAAGCTATTTACAAGTGTTGCTATGGACACCAGTGGTAAATTACCCGCAGGCTTCACTACTAAAAAAACAGAATGCAGCATCTTACTACATACTGGGATACGGGAAGATACCGCTTTGTGATTGGAGCCCATAGTCTCTACAAGTCCATGTTCTAGATTCTCCATCCCACCACCACCTTGTAATAGTGAGGGATGGTGTGACCTTCCTGTGTGGAATCCCGGGAATACAGAGGACGGGGACATCTCTCTGGTGGGTTCCTGGTATTAGGTGGCTCCATCATATCCTTGTGTCCTTCTGAAAACTCCTCCATCACTCCATACTCCTCATCCTCCTCTTTATACTCTTCTTTAACATCAATATTTATCATCCCCGAGGATTCCACTCTGAAAGATATAATAAAACATTCATTGTAACAAACATGCTGTGTATAAATCACAACTACCAATAATTGTCATCATCTACCTGATGATGGTGAGGGATGGTGTGACCTTCCTGTGTGGAATCCCGGGAATACAGAGGACGGGGACATCTCTCTGGTGGGTTCCCATGACTGGATCCATCTGTAGGAAACACACACACTGACTGAATCCATTGTTTCTATGTGTTTATCAGATGATGGGGGATCTAGGTGGATCCTCCGTACTGCTCTCTCCTTTACAATAAAGTCTCCTCTTACCCGGTGATGTGAGGGGCGGCTGATTGTCCATCATGACGTCCTTGTAGAGATCCTTGTGTCCTTCTAAATACTCCCACTCCTCCATGGAGAAATAGACAGTGACACCCTGACACCTTATAGGAACCTGACACACACAATGATACAGTCACCATCCAGACACATCCCTTGTCTGTTACTGGAGAATGTCCCAGAATTCCCGGCACCGCTCACCTCTCCTGTCAGCTGATGGACCATCATGGTGGTCAGTTCCAGAATCTTCTGCTCTTTCTCCCTCTCTCAGGTATCAGAGAATGAGATGGAGGCACCATGGTGAGGCTCTGGGTTCTGCTCCATCCTCCTGAGATTGGCTCCCCACTAGACTTCTTCTTTACAACATAATCCTACAGATCAGGAGACAAATAAAACAATATCAACCACCTGACATCATCTAAATGTGTGCAAAAAAATAAAATGGTCTATTGACCAGAATAGACAAGAGTGTGTTATGTCATGTGACCTCCCAGAATCCTCCTCTCACCTCTCCGGTCAGGTCTGTGTTTTATTAATAGAGATGAGTGATGTCATGTGACCTCCCAGAATCCTCCTCACCTCTCCGGTCAGGTCTGTGTTTTATTAATAGAGATAAGAGTGATGTCATGTGACCTCCCAGAATCCTCCTCACCTCTCCGGTCAGGTCTGTGTTTATTAATAGAGATGAGAGTGATGTCATGTGACCTCCCAGAATCCTCCTCACCTCTCCTCTCCGGTCAGGTCTGTGTTTTATTAATAGAGATAGATGAGTGATGTCATGTCCTCCCATCCTCCTGACCTCCCGGTCAGGTCTGTGTTTTATCCTCCTCCCAGAATCCTCCTCACCTCTCGGTCAGGTCTGTGTTTTATTAATAGAGATGAGAGTGATGTCATGTGACCTCCCAGAATCCTCCTCACCTCTCCGGTCAGGTCTGTGTTTTATTAATAGAGATAAGAGTGATGTCATGTGACCTCCCAGAATCCTCCTCACCTCTCCGGTCAGCATAGATGATCTCCAGGGTGAGGTTTAGTATCTTCTCAGTCATGTGACTCCGGTCCTCCTCCATCCTCATTGGTGCCATCATGTGATCTATACAGGTCTCCTTGTAGACGGATAACTTTGGGAAATGAAAGTAAGAATGATTTGGATGGTATTGGTCACACAATAATAGGATGTGGATGTGAGGGGGGAATAGGAGGGTTGCTGGACATTGAAGAACTACTCCCCCCATGGGAAGACATTTTGTTTGGACTGTTTAGTGTTTACTACAATTTTGAGGTCCGGGGCCGGGGCCCCTTTTCTCTGTTGGGTTTGTTTGGTCTCTGAACTGGTTTTGATGAGTTTTAGATCTGCAGACAAGGAATGATAAATCTGATCCTTCCTATGACTAGTTTGCTCTGAGGCAGTGCTGTGAGGTCAATGTCGGCTCATCATGCAGGGATGGTCACTTTACATCGCCCGACGCCCGGGACATGTAGTTCTGGGGGCCGGGCAAGTATTGTGTTTAATCTTTATCCCTGCTGAGGGCAAGCCGCAGGGCTCTCCTTTCAGGTGCCAGCCTCTGCCACCCCGTGTGTGTGTGAACCTCTCCTGTACCTACTATGCTTCCCCGGCTCTGCTTGCCCATCTGTGGGCCCGGGTCAGCGGGTGTCGGAGGGTAGAGGGGATGGAGGAGAGCGGACACATTCACTCCCTTCTTGTCCTGACCCAGAAGTGACGTTATGACAGATTTCCCGACCATCGAGGACGGCAAAGAATGTAATGCGGTGCGATGTGCTCTACATTACATCCAATGGAGTACAGGGGAGACATTGGGGGTCTTTTAGACCCTGGATGTCTCAATAAAGAGAACCTGTCATCAAAAGTCATCTCATAGAGGACTTTGTCCCCTTAAGTAAAAATTTTTTTTAATTGTAAAGAATTAAAGTTACACCCAAGTACATAACTCCTCCCCCTTTAAAAAATGTTGAGGCCCCCCCACCCCCACATATATGCACCCCAAATGTAAGAGCACACGCTGGAGCGCCTACACGTGATAACATTGATTGTGATACACGTTACATATCGCCGGTCACACCAGAATGAGAGGATAATTCTAGGAGCAGACCTCCTCCGTACTCTATACTGATGACCTAGAAGGGGCTATAAATGTGTCACCTATAGATAATACCGGGGACTAAAGGTTGTCACCATTTCAGCACACACAACTTAAGGTTTGACATGTTGGATATCTATTTACTCGCTGCAACCTCGGCTTTTATATTTTTACACATAAATGGGTCTTTTATTGCTTTTTTGTGCCCTGAAATTAACTTAAGTGTATTTTTTACTGAAATTTGGCATTTCCTAGACTTTGTGATAACATTTTGTGACATAAAAAGAGAAAGGATAAGCAGGACACTCCCCTTTCCTGAGGAGCAGTCAATCGGTTCTCATTACACTGCAAGGTCTCTACCCTCCCTGCTAGTCCCCGGGTGCGGTGCTGGAGACAGGCGGGGGAGGGGAGGAGGAGATAAACAGCACAATGTTACACATATTACACATTTAAGTTGCTAAAATCTAAAAAAGATCTCCTGCAGCCTATTAGCTCCCATTTCCCTCTCTATACGTCTCAGCAGATCTCCTGCAGCCTATTAGCTCCCATTTCCCTCTCTATGTCTCAGCAGATCTCCTGCAGCCTATTAGCTCCCATTTCCCTCTCTATGTCTCAGCAGATCTCCTGCAGCCTATTAGCACCCATTTCCCTCTCTATGTCTCAGTCACACATTACAACAAGCAGTCACAAAGGTAAACAACAAGCTGTAAAATAAATGTAAAGCAGAGAGGGAGAGAAGGCTGATAAAGCAGCTCATCGATGAGAGGTACATAAGAACATACAATGTCAATACAAAACAGTGACATGGCCATCAATCACAAACGATCGGAGCAGACAGATCGGTGTCATAGGTGTCCCGTGGGTCCTGAACTGCCTCCAGCGCAGGGACAGTAGCAGGGTGTAAAGCAGGTAGGTACTCCAACTTTCTCATTTCTGCTCTGACCTTCATCAGTGCCGGTAACATGGGGGACATAGAAGACAGCCAATGCATGGGAATGGTTCTCCTGGCTGCCCTCAGAATGGAGGTGGAAAGTTTCCTCGCACATTTAGAGAGACCCGAAAAGGTAGACCCAACAGAAAGTAAATGGGCTCAAAAGGGACAGGAGCCCGCAGAAGTAACCACAATGGGGTAAGGACCTCTAGCCTCAGTGGAGAGACAGGGTGACAGTTCTCAAATAGGTAAGGGGCGGGGATGATGTCCCTGGCTGGCCCCGCCCCTATACCTATATAGGAAACTGTCAGCTAGCCTTTTCTTCACAAGGCTGGAAGCCTCGGACGGGAGCGGAACTTTTTTTTTTTTTTTTTTTCGGGTCCCGACGCCGCCATGATTGACGTTGGATCTACTTCGGGGGACATTGTTTTAATAAAGGACTTGTCAAAGACCCTGTACTGTGTTTTTTTTACACTACACTTTTTTTTTTTTTTGAAGGAGTAGCGGGACCATGTACCGCAGAATCCTTCACGTGGGGGGGGGCCGGGATCTAGGTGCCCCCTTGTTAAAGGGGGCTTCCAGATTCTGATAAGCCCCCGCCTGCAGACCCCCACAACCACCGGCCAGGGTTGTGGGGAAGAGGCCCTTGTCCTCATCAACATGGGGACAAGGTGCTTTGGGGGGGGAGCCCCCAAAGCACCCCCCCATGTTGAGGGCATGTGGCCTGGTATGGTTCAGGAGGGGGGGCGCTCGCTCGCCCCCCCCCTTTCGTGACCTGCCGGGCTGCATGCTCGGATAAGGGTCTGGTATGGATATTGAGGGGGACCCACGCTGTTTTTTTTTTTTAATTTCAGCGTGGAGTTCCCCCTTAATATCCATACCAGATCCGAAGGGCTTGGTACAGATGGGAGGGGGGACCCCACGCTGTTTTTTTCATTATTTATGCAATAAAGGAAATTATTTTACATTCAGCTGTCAGTGGGGAACCCCGCTGACAGCTGAAACATTAACACATGGCTGTCGCTCCTACAATCCCGCATGAGTTATGTTATCAACTCATGCAGCATTTTAGTAGTGAAAACAATGCAGCGCTCATGTTTCAGCTGTCGGCGGAGTTCCCCACTGACAGTTGAATGTCAAAGTATTGCAGGGAATTATAGACAATTTTTTAAAAACCCGGCATTGGGTCCCCCCTCTCATCCTTACCAAGCCCTCGGGTCTGGTATGGATGTTAAGGGGTAACTCCACGCCGAAATTAAAGAAAAAACAGCGTGGGGTACCCCCCAAAATCCATAACACATACTTATCCGAGCATGCAGCCCGGCAGGTCAGGAAAGGGGGGGGGACGAGCGGGCGCCTCCCCCCCTCCTGAACCATACCAGGCCACATGCCCATACCAAATTATTCAAACATTTGTAAACAGACCAATGAACTGAAATGGTTTGGCATTTGTACCCCAAAATATGACGTTCCCTGAGGCGTTGGTACACCGAGGTACGCCTGTATTAGTATTGCAATCCTTTGTATTGGGATACATAGAACCAACATACATGTGAATTGGCAACATAGCACAACATTTGTGTCACATTGGAGATATCTGGTAGTTATACTGACCTTGCCCAGGGACTTAGGATTGATTCACAGCACAGAAATACAGGCAGGATTAGTGTTCAACAGCTCTGTGATTAGTGGTTAGCACTGCTGTCTCACAACGCTAGGGTTGTTGGTTTGAATCCCAACCATGGCAATGAATTTGCATGATCTCCGTGTGACTACCCTAACATACATGTGCTGGTGGCAGCATCTCTGCTTTCTGTCTAAATGATCCCTAGAATGTGAATTAGAATGAGGCCTTGTCTGTTCAAACACCTTCAAAGCTGCAGCTTATGTGAATGTCATACAATGGGATGAGATAAGGGCCTGGACCACTAATAGATTTGATAATGATGGTTTATACTCCACCCCCTTTTGTGAAGGATTTGTCAAGCAAAGAGCTGAGAGAGAGAGAGAGAGAGAAGCCAGTGAGACAAAGAGAGAGATACATACAGAGGGTGAGTGAGAGAGAAGAGAGCGAGAGATACAGTGAGACAAAGAAGAGAGAAGAGCGAGCCAGTGAGACAAAGAAGAGTGAGCGAGAGATACATACAGAAGGGTGAGTGAGAGAGAAGAGTGAGCGAAGAGAGTGAGCGAGAGATACATACTGAAGAGTGATAAAGAGAGACATACAGAAGAGTGAGTGAGAGAGAAGAGCGAGCCAGTGAGACAAAGAAGAGTGAGCGAGAGATACATACAGAAGGGTGAGTGAGAGAGAAGAGCAAGCCAGTGAGACGAAGAAGAGTGAGCGAGAGATACATACTGAAAAGTGATAAAGAGAGACATACAGAAGAGTGAGCGAGAGAGAAGAGCGAGCCAGTGAGACAAAGAAGAGTGAGCGAGAGATACATACAGAAAAGTGAGTGAGAGAGAAGAGCAAGCAAGGGAGATAAAGAAGAGTGAGCGAGAGATACATACAGAAGAGTAAGAGAGAAGAGCGAGCCAGTGAGACAAAGAAGAGTGAGCGAGAGATACATACTGAAGAGTGATAGAGAGAGAGAAAAGGCTTGGGTGGGGAATCCCCACGTCAAAATTGTTACAAATACTGGCGTGGAATTTCCCCCAAATGCATAGCAGACCCTTATCCCAGCAGGCAGGTACCGCACGCCTTCAAAGATTTATTTCCTTTGTTGATTTTCCTGCTTCGCTCACACTATATGCAATTGAAAATTGCGCTAAAAGGTTGCCAATTTTACCATTTTCTAGAAAATTTCAAACTAGTTGTGATTTCAATTGTGTGTAGCATTGCGATTTCTAATGGCCCCTTTGAAATCGTAAGTTCAACAAACAAATGGCGTAGCGTTACTCCCCTCACATTCACATTCATTATATCCAATATCAGGTACGATGTCAATTCACAAATCACACCTGAAATTGCACACCCTGGATGTGACTTGTCATGTGATTGGCATGGCCAGCAGCTTGCCCTTTGCATGGCAAATTGCACACAATG